AGGTTCCAGTGCCTACCATGCCTCTGTGCTGCCTGATGGCTTTGGCTATGGCTGCGCTGTCTCTATTGGGGTGAGACAAGCACCTGTGATGAAGTGAGATGAACACTAGGCTGAACCTGGTCATCTGAGAAATGGTGATGGCAGAGCAGGTGGCATTACACATATCACTTAGGGTCTGAGCTCATCTCTCTGTGTATTTCTGCCTCTGTTACCCGCATTCTTGCTTTAGCTCTGTCCTAATCTAACTACATCTTTTCTTCATCTTTAATGCAGTGGTGCGGGGGGAGGGGGCTAAACAAGGTCAGGTGTCCCAATCTGGGGTCACCGGTCTCTGGGGGTCTAGGAAGGTAGTTACGAAGGTCCAGCAGTTGGTTGTGTTATTTCAAACAACGCAATAACGAACTTAGGTGTGAATTCGACTTCACAGACTAATCAAATGTTAATTTTGCTTTAGGCTGGAATTGTACCAACTTGCACTGACCATAAGCCCTGATTGGCACTTTAATATGATTTTCACTAATAGATGCAGAGAAATTAATTGATGATTAGTTAGTCAATGCAGTTCTGTATAGAAAAATCTTTCAAAAAAGGTAAAAAATAGTAACATGGTCTTTGATTATAAAAAAGAGGAGAATCACTAAATTAGATCATCCTAAAGAAATAAGTCATCTCAAAAGACGATTTTATAAAATTGGGAGAGATGATGCTTGTCCAGATTGTCAGTGGTTCAGGGGGGTGTGCTTGGCAGAGATACTAAGGACTAACTTAGAGCAGAGGGAGGGAGTTTTAAACTAACCACACCCCCAAGTCACCCTGTCTTCGAAGCTCTCTGCGGGACATCATCATAGCCTGGGCAGACACCAAGAGAATTATGGGACAGTGTAACGTCTCAAAGCAGGGGCTATGGTAAGTTGTTTTGAGGAAAGGGTATTTGTGGCATCAGTGTATGAAAAACCCAGGGAGAACAATGCCAAAGACAGAGGATGCCCCTATGCTAGACCACAGCCAAGCTCTCCTCAGGGCTGGTGCTGTCCTTTCAGGGTGGACCCACCTGCCCAGGCTCAGCTTCAGGCCTCCTGAGGTCACTCTATCTTCTGTCCACAGTCCCAGGACAGAACTGAAGCCACCTCCTTCCAGCTGGTTGAAAGGACTTCTAGGGGCCAGGTGCTGCCACAGACTTCCTATAAGGTGCCCTGTGGAGGAGCCCAGCCTCATCACTTTCTTCCGGACACAGCCCTCTGCTTAGCCCCCGCAGCCATCCAAGCAACTTAAACCCGAGTCAGTGGTGTTACTAATGCTGCGTTTACTAATGCTCTGGTATCATCCAGACTATAAAGGCAAGAACTCAAAAACCAAACCCGTTGCCATCAAGTCAATTTCGACTCATAGCAACCCTACAGGACAGAGTAGAACTGCCCCCATAGGGTTTCCAAGGAGTGCCTGGTGGATTCAAACTGCCCACCTCTTGTTTAGCTAAGCTCTTAACCACTGTGCCACCAGGGATCCATAAAGAAAAAGTCAGAGTTAAAAAAGACTTCAGGGACTCATTGGAGAGTTATTGACTTGCTGTGGCTCCCTCGGGCCCAGAGGACTCACAAATCCTTCTTTACTCACACTGATTTTGGGAATGCAAATTGACACAGGAATTTTGGAGGGCAATTTGGAAATGCATGTCAAAGATCTTAAAAAATGAACATACTCTTTGGAGAGTAATTTCTCTCCTGGAAATTTATACTGAGAACCAAATTAGACAAATGTACAAGGATGTGGACAATGATCTTCATTATAGCAATGTTTTTAATGAAACAACCGAAAAAGTCCAATTGTAAGGTACGGATGAAATTAGGACAGATACATATAATGGAATACTATGCAGCCTTAAAATTATATATATATATATATAGATATGAAGAGTTTCATGATATAAATTTTTTAAAATTTATTTTATTGTACTTTAGATGAAAGTTTACAGAATAAACTAGTTTCTGATTAAACAGTTAGTATACGTATTATTTTATGACATTGGTTAACAACCCCACGACATGTCAACACTCTCCCTTCTTGACCTTGGATTACCTGTTACCAGCTTTCCTGTCCCCTCCTGCCCTCTAGTCCTTGCCTCTGGGCTGGTGTGCCCCTTTAGACTTGTTTTGTTTTATGGGCCTGTGTAATCTTTGGCTGAAGGGTGAACCTCGAGAGTGACTTCATGACTGAGCTAAAAGGTTGTCGGGGGGCCATACTCTTGGGATTTCTCTAGTCTCTGTCAGGCCAGTAAGTCTAGTCTTTTTTTGTGAGTTAGAATTTTGTTCTACATTTTTCTCCAGCTCTGTCCAGGACCCTCTATTGTGATCACTGTCAGAGCAGTCAGTGGTGGTAGCCAGGCACCATCTAGTTGTACTGGACTCAGTCTGGTGGAGGCCATGGTAGGAGGGGCCCATTAGTCCTTTGGACTAATCTTTCCCTTGTATCTTTAATTTTCTTCATTCTCTCTTTCTCCCGAAGGGGTGAGACCAGTGGAGTATCTTAGATGGCCGCTCACATGCTTTTAAGACTGCAGATTCTACTCACCAAAGTAGAATGTAGAACATTTTTTAATAAACTATGTTATGCCAATTGAGCTAGATGTTCCCTGAGACCATGGTCCCCACAGCCCTCAGCCCAGCAATTTGGTCCCTCAGGGAGTTTGGATGTGTCTATGGAGCTTCCATGATCTTGCCTTGTACAAGATGTGGTGGCTTCCCAAGTATTGTGTAATGTCTTACCCTTCACCAGAGTTACAACTTATCTATTGTCTATTTAGTGTTTTTCCATCCCCACCCTTCCCCTTCCTCGTAACCATCAAAGATTGTTTCTTTTTGTGTATAAACCTTTTCATGAGTTTTTACAGTAGTGGTCTCATGCAACATTTGTCCTTTTGTGATTGACTTATTTCACTCAGCATAATGCCCTCCAGATTTATTCATGTTATGAGAGCTTCCCAGATTCCTCATTGTTCTTTATCGTTGCATAACACTCCATTGCGTGTATGTACCATAGTTTATCTATTCATCTGTTGATGGGCACCTAAGTTGTTTCATCTTTTTGCTATTGTGAACAATGCTGCAATGAACATGGGTGTGCATATGTCTATTCATGTGACAGCTCTTATTTCTGTAGGATATATTCCTAGGAGTGGGATTGCTGGATCGTATGCTATTTCTATTTCTAGCTTTCTAAGGAAGTGCCATATCGTTTTCCAAAATGGTTGTATCATTTTGCATTCCCACCAGCAGTGTATAAGAGTTCTGATCTCCCTGCAGCCTCTCCAACATTTGTTATTTCCTGTTGTTTTGATTCATGCTAGTAATGCCGGGGTGAGATGGTATCTCATTGTGGGTTTGATTTGCATTTCTCTGATGGCTAGTGATCTTTAGCATTTCCTCAAGTGTCTGTTGGTGGCTCTAATGTCTTCTTTGGTGAAGTATCTATTCATTTCCTTTGCCTATTTTTTAATTGGATTATCTGTCTTTTTGTTGTAAAGGTGTTGGATTTCCCTGTAGATTTTAGAGATTAGACCTTTATCTGATTTGTAATAGCCAATTTTTTTTCCCAGTTTGTAGGTTCTCTTTTCACTCTTTTGGTGAAGTCTTTTAAAAAACGGTTATCAAATAATATATAGTAGGTTCTCGGTTTTGTAAAAAAGAAATATATGTGTATGTATAAAAAATATGGAAGGATATACAATGTTCTTCCTTTCTTTTCCTTTGTACCTTCTATTTTCTCCACAAAATAATATGGATTACTTGAGGGGCATTATAATGTAATGCTCAAGAGCACAGATTCAGGATCAGACCATCTGGGTTTGTACCTCAGTTTCCTCATCTGTCCCTCAGTTTTCACATATTTAAACTTACCTCAGTTTTCTTATCTCTAAAATGGAGAGAATAATAGTACCTACCCCGTTAGGGGTTGTTTTGTGAGGATTTTGACATTCGAAAGCATTTAGAAGAGTTCCTGATGCTGAGCACACACCAAATAAGTGTTAAGTGCTATTCTTGTGTAATAAATAATAATTCATCCGATCCATAGATAAACCTCTGAAGTGAGGTATATGTAGTGACACCTACTGAAGTGGACACCCAGGCTTAGGGTTGTCTTCAAATTCCATTTTCATGTAGTTTGCTGGATGTCTGTTAAGCCTGGTCTCTGGTTGGGGCCCATAAGTCAGTGCCTGATTGGATGACTGTCTGAAACTCCAACCCCCGAGAATCTACCTTGAGCAAAGGAAATGGTCTTCTCTGCTGGTAGCCCAATTCAGAACACAGCCTGGTAGAAGGAAAAAACCCTCTGGGAAAAACAAAAACAAAAACATTTGCTGTTGAGTCAACTTCAATTCATGGCAACTCCATCTGTATCAGAGTAGAACCATGCTTCACAGGGTTTTCAATGGCTCATATTTCAGAAGTAGATCGCCAGGCCCTTATTCCAAGGTGCTTCTGGGTGGACACCAGCCTCCAACCTTTCAGTTAGCAGCCAAGCGAACAGTTTGAGCCACACAGAGACTCCCTCTGACAATTATTAGAGGAAAAATAATTTTTCCAAGGTGGTCTTGTTTTTCTCTAAAATGTACAAACATGATAATTTAAGTGTATCAACTGATACATAACATGTGTTTGTTCCAAAAGTAATAAACTGACTAGATTTGTAAAGCACACTCAGAAAAATAAATAGTGCATATATTAAGATTTTCACCTAAACTTTCATTTATTTCCCTTCAAAGGTCCATCCCATCCTGAGTAGGTTCAGAAACGGAAACTTTCCACCTATACCTGCCTAATCCCCCTGACAGCTCGCAGATAGGAGGAAGGCTGACTCAGGTCCTTGGGAGGTGTGAGGAAGGAGAGTAAAGATGGCGGGTGGTGGAGGACAGGTCTCTGGGAGAGGGACCCAGGGCTGAATTGAGAAAGGCTGAAGAAGAGCCGGGGACGTGGCTCAGCTCCTGCCTCACCCCTCTTTCGCAGGAGCCTTCTTCATCCCCTACTTCATCTTCTTCTTCTCCTGTGGCATCCCCGTGTTCTTCTTGGAGGTGGCACTGGGCCAATACACCAGCCAAGGGAGCGTCACAGCCTGGAGGAAGATCTGCCCCCTCTTCCAAGGTGAGTATTCTCCCGTCCCCTTCCTTCCCTAGGTCTTCCCTCCATCCATGGGGCCATCGCCTCACCTACATCCCTCCATTGTCCTTCACCCTCCCTAGGCAGCCATGGCCTCATTCACTCATCCACGCTCATCCTGTACCAAGTGGAGGGTGGGGTGGCGTGGGCTGGGGTGGTATTAAGACATATAATCAGGGAAGATCCAGGTTTTGAGGGACCCAAAGCTTGTAAAACTTGGATAGGAGGGCACTCTCTAAGAAAAACAATACAAAACTACAAATACAAAATTAGGTGCAGATCCTTGGAAGGAGTCTCTGCAAGTGAGGAGCCCTGAAGCTTACTTTTCATCAGCTCCATGGAAAATCTACTGAGTAGATGGCAATGTCCCAGAGGAGGCGCCAAAATACATAGTAATAGTAATGATAATATTAATGATTAACATCTATGAAGACCTTAGTATATGTCAGGGCTTATGCTAAGCATTTTACATGTATTTCTTCATCTAACCCTCCAATAACTATATTCACTTCATTTTGTAGATGAGGAAAATGAAGTCATTTACCTAAGGATTTGAATTCAGATCTACCTGAGTGGAAAGCCCATGCTTTTTACCTTTAACCGTATTAGGGACAGCTTCTGCCTCTCTCATTATGGATCTGTTGTCACTAATGAGAACAGCTTGGGGCAACCTTCCCCCACCCACCCCTCTAGTTGGTTGTACCAGTTTTCTAAGGGCCAGTGGGAAATGCAAGGGGTATCCTTGTCCCTGAGAGTTTCCTTGCAGATTTGAAATGGAGAGAGAACTCTTCCCTCATGCCAGTCCCTGAGGAGCCCCAGGGACTAGGTCCTCTAGGGTTCCCTCAGACAGGGGGCCAAACCGAGCAGGTTGGCTAGAGCTCGGCATGGTGGGGGCAAAACTGGCTCCTGCAGAGGCTGGGAACCCGACCACTGACTGGGGACAGGGCAAGGCTAAGCTAGTACTGATGCCTGGAGCCCTGGCTGGGGCTCAGCTGACTTCTTGGAGCCTCCGTGGGACCCCTGTAGGGGCAGCAGTGAGGGACTAGGCAGGGTGAAGCTTGGCCCACCCATGTTTCTACTCAGAGTTCTGGGTCCTCTGGGAGCGCTGCAGCCTCAGCCGGAGTACTGAGGAGGTTCCCTGCATTCTGTTCTGGCCCCCAGCCTAATGTCCCACCCAGCTGGGCCCAATTCCCAAGCAAGCAGTGGGCAGGCACACAAGCAAGCACTGTCCTCTCTGGGCCACGTGCACTATCTGATGGGGGTGCCATGGACAGGATGAGCAAATGAGCATTTGACAGGGACCTAGGGGAAGGTGGAAGAGGGTTATGGCCCTTTCCCCCTTTTCCAAGTTACAGAGCACCCCCAAGGCTTGGGATCTCAGGGAGAGCCTCACTCAGGCTGTGTGCACTCAAGTTGTTTGGGCATCCCAGACTGCTTACTACTTGCTCTCCACCTGCCTAACTTCCCCCACCCCACTTCCACCCACCCAGTGAGCCTATGCACACAGGCGCTCACAAGAAACACATCCCCGAGGGCACCCACGGCCTCCCTCCTCAACCTACCCACAGTCACAGGCTTCCCCCCTACTCTCCAAAATGGGGTGGGGTAGTGGGTGGTGGTGTTGAGAGTAAGTGTTGGAGTTGGGGGGACTGCCCCCTCTCCCCAGCCATCACCACCACAAACGCTCCCGCCAGGCCCCAGCCACTGCCCTCCTCCTGGGTCTCCGGTGTTTACAGAGCTGACACCCCCCACTCTCTGCTTCTTCGCTGCCTGCTCCCCGCCTCCCACCCTGTTTGGTCGGGAGCACAGGGGGAGCACAGCGCGTTCTGGGCGGCGGGCACAGCAGGCGCTTGTTTGTGTTTGTGTAGATCTGTGCGCGCTCTAAATATCCCGCCTGGCGCGGCCGCCAGCTCCCCTGGGACCCTCCTCGCCATTCCAGCCCCAACCACCACCCCTAGCGAGGCCCAAGCCCGAGGCTGCGCCGCCATCCTGCCGACGACAGCCTGCTCACCCTCACCGCAGACTCTTGGGGGCTCCTGTCCCTCAATGCTCTGGCTGCTGAGCAGGGACCTAAACCCAGGAAAACGCTTCCTTTCCCAGTCGAGGAGTGTGGGTTTGCCAGGTCCATCGGAAACGACAATTAGGGTGGGCTCTCCCTGCAAAGGGGTGGTTTTGTTTACAGTCAGCATTGATTTTTCGACAAGCCCTCAGGCTGACGGGTTGTTCTCGAACAGTCCATTAAATAGTGATTGAGTATTGGCTTCACAGGACCCGGAGACGAAAACGACTCTGCGGCCTCCGCGCTCCCGGACTCCGGATAAACGCGGCGGGAGGGGCGGGGCGGGCCGGTTCTAATCAGGAGGCCGCGCTCGCAACTTCTCACCGCCTTGCGTTCACAACACAGGGCTAACAACCGACCTGGCAACATACTACCTTTAAAATAACTGCAGGAAAGATTCCACTTTTGTAGAACATTGGCGGGGGGTGGGGGGCTGGGCGGCGGAGCCTTACTCCTCTCCTTGCCCCTTCTCACCCCAAATACATTTCCGCTGAGGTGACAGTGTACACAGCTAACCCTGAGACTTCGTGATAAGTGTGAAAATAGAAGTGCAAATTTTACACCTCATGACGTTCTTGCTCCTTGTTCTCCTGGCGAGATGGCATTTGATGCTGAATCAGGCTGCAGATTTCTTGTCGGCAGGCGCCACATCCTCCTCCTTGTTGGTTTCTTCTTGTTTTTTGCTGTTATATTACTGATTCCTACCAGTTTATCCCTACTTACTCCTTTATTCTTTCTGCCGCTTATTATACGAGTAACGTTGTTGTTGTAAGATGCCATCGAGTCAGTTCTGACTTATAGCGACCCTGTGTGCAACAGAAGGAAACGCTGCCAGGTCCTGCGCCATCGTCACAACAGTTACTGTGTTTGAGCCCATTGTTGCAGCCACTGTGTCAATTTATCTTGTTGAGGGTCTTCTTTTTCTCTGACCCTCTACCTTATCAAGCGTGATGTCCTTCTCCAGGGCCTAGTCCCTCCTGATAACATTTCCAAAGTACATGAAAGGAAGTTTTGCCTTACTCACTTCCAAGGAGCATTCTGGTCATACTTCTTCCCAGACAGATTTGTTTGTTCTTCTGAAAGTCCATGGTATATTCAGTATTCTTCACCAATACCATCATTCAAAGGCGTCAATTCTTCTTCGATCTTCTTCATTTATCGTCCAACTTTTGCATGCATATGAGGCAATTGAAAATACCATGGCTTGGGTCAGGCACACCTTAGCCTCAAAGTTGACATCTTTGCTTTTTAACACTGGAAAGAGGTCTTTTGCAGCAGATTTTTGCCCACTGCAATATGTCTTTGATTTCTTACCTGCTGCTTCCATGGGCATTGATTGTGGATCCAAGTAAAATAAAATCTTTGACAACTTCAGTCTTTTCTCCATATTACATTTTCTCGTGTATTACAAGTAATACATGATTGTAATTGAAAAACTAGAAAATATAGACAGGCGAAAATAAAAAAAATTTTAAAAATCAACTGAAATCTCATCACCTAGACAACCACTGTTAACTTTCTGGTGAATATGTAATATCCCTCCAGAGTTTTTCTCATGAAAAAAATATACATGCAAATGTGTATTATAAAAATGGGATAATGTATAGAATAATGTTCTGTAGCCTGTTCTTCTTACTTAGAAATAGGCTTTGAATGGCTTCTCATGCCAGTAAATAAACACTTGTGGTTCTGTTTGTGTAGCACTCAGCACCCTCCCAGGCGGCTTCTATGTGACTTTTTTTGTTGTTGTTATCGCTAACATTGATTTCTTGGATTCTCTTGTATCTCCTCCTCCCCCTCTCCCCCGACTCCCACCCCCCCATCCTTCGGAAGGCATTGGTCTGGCATCTGTGGTCATTGAGTCTTATTTGAACGTCTACTACATCATTATCCTTGCATGGGCCCTTTTCTACTTGTTCAGTTCCTTCACCTCTGAGCTGCCCTGGACGACCTGCACCAATTCCTGGAACACAGGTATTCATCGTTTCAGCCCCTTGGGGCTGGGCCTATGGTGGCTGGCAATGACCAAACAATGAAGGAGCACTTGCCCCAAAACCAGGCTATATGGGCTCTGGTGCAAGCTTTGCTGGCTGACCATTCTGCGGGACCTGAGACCAGCCACTAGGAGGTGGTTGTGAAACCCAGTGGGACTGTGAGTGTGTTACACAGCTGCAAGGGGTTACCATCACTCACTCATTCATTCAATTAACAAATGTTTACTCAGCACCTAGTATGTGCCAAACACTGTGCTGGAGGTCCTAGGGTGAGCAAGGGCAAAATGGGCCCTACCCTCATGAAGCTTACAGTCTACTGGTAGAAATAGACAAATAGACAAAACAATTACAAATTGTGATGAGTGAAAGAAACAAGAGTGCAGTAATTGTAAAACAATGAGAGGGAGAAATAATTTAGATAGGTTGTGGGAGACAGCTGCTCAGGGAAGGTGCTATATGAAGGCTGAAGGACAAGAAGGTGCTCACTATGTGAACAGCATTCCAGGCAGGGGAAGAGCAGGTGCAAAGCCTCAGTCACTTGGTCTGTAGGATAGAGAGACAGGGAAGATTGGGAAATTAGATGAGCATGTAGCAATCTGTGAGGGCGCAGATTGGATCTGAGGTCTGAATTGTGTCAGAGGTTGGAGGGGTGGTCAGAAGAGCAGCCACGTTCAGGGTGACCAAGAGCTGAGCAAGCCACATGGGAGAAGGGGTTGGTCCCATGAACTACCGAAGCAGCCAACTCCTGATACTCTGGAAAGTGGGGGCCCCAAAGGAAGCTCCTGTGGGTAAATGTGAGGGTACAGGTAGACTTGTGTGAGAATGTAGGTGGATGTGTGTGGGTGTGGGTGGAAGTGAAGGTGTAAGTAGTCGTGTGGGGGATGGGGAATGTGGAATCCACCAGGCTGCAAAGCCAGAGGGTTGGGGGGCACTAGGATGAAGTTTCTTCCAGCTGATACACACCTTGCTTCACCTTGTCCCTGACAGAGCACTGCATGGACTTTCTGAATCACTCGGGAGCCCACACAATGCTGCCCTCTGAGAACTTCACCTCACCTGTCATGGAATTCTGGGAGTATGTGCTGGACCTGGTTGCCAAATACTGGGGTGCCCCAAACAGAGGGAATTTGGATGTCTGAGCTCTGGGACTTGTGGTGCAAGTTGAAGACTCTTTATGCATGTTTTTCAGCACTTACTCACCACCCATGCCCGCACCCTACACATCACTGATGGATGAGTGAACACTAACGTATCCATTCCCACTTCCTACGCTTAGACTCACACATATATCCATCCATGTCCACTTACATTCATTCTCACATGTGTCTACCCTCACCCTAGCATCCACTCCCTCCCACATTCATCCACCCACATCCACCCTGTCTACCCACAAATGTCCAGTGGTGTGCAGGAAACAGCCCATACCAGCTCAAGAGAGCCGATCATTCACATTTCTTCCCAACCCTGTGTTCAGTGATATCATGTTGGTAGCTTGAAATCAGCCAAGGTGGGAGTATTTACACCACAGAAATTGGCAAACTTTATACTCACACATCTCCCACATGACTACTTACACCTTCATATCCACCCACACTTACACATGTCTACCTATATTCTCACACAAGTCTACCTATACCCTCACACTTACCTAAAACCCACACACATTCACCTACACTGACACATGTCTACTACACCCTCACTTCTACACCCACCCACCCACACATGTCCACCTACACTGACAAATGTACACCTTCACAGGTACCCAAACCTCACAACACCCATCTATAGTCTTACACACACAAACATACACTCACACATTTCCATCACTACCAAAAGTATCTTTAGATACTAACACACATTCAGCCCCTCCATTTGATGCCCATATACTTGCTCATCAACCTGCACATGTAAATATCCACTCTCCATCCATTCATTCATACATTCCCACCACCCTCATCGTCTCTTTCTTTATCTCTCTGTGCAACAGAGAAGTCTGAATGAGTTAGAAAGACAAAGATACCTATGGGATTACTGTGATTTGGTCTTCTAACAGCCAGGAGCGTTCAGACCACAGGTGGGAACATGGCATAGCCACGGGGGAGGTGAGGTAGGGATGGGGGAAGGGAAAGCCATGGAGTATGAGGTCTGTGGGGTCAGCTCTAGGAATCAGGAGACCTGGTGACAGAGGCAAGTTGTACTCTTTAGCCTCTCACTGGTTATTTGTTTTTTCCAACCCCTTAGGAGACGGGTCCTGGGCATCACCTCAGGCATCCACAACCTGGGCGCTGTGCGCTGGGAGCTGGCCCTGTGCCTCCTGCTTGCCTGGGTCATCTGCTGCTTCTGCATCTGGAAGGGGGTCAAGTCCACAGGCAAGGTGAGGTATTCTGGCTCCTTGTAAGCTCTCTGTGGCCCCCAGGGTTCATGGGGACACTTTCAGTGTCCCTCTGGAGAACTGAAAGACAGCATAGTCTAGGGGAGATGTATGGAGAGTACAGGGGAGTCATGGAAAGGCAGGTTTAGCTCAATACAAGGAAGTGCTTTCTCTTCAATATGACTTTTAAAAACCTATTTACAATAGTAATATACAGAGCAAATGATAAACATAAAAGTCACACACATTCCTACTTGTCAGAGCTGATCACTGTACAGGCCGTCTGCATGGTGGCAGGTCAAATCTGTCATCTCTGCTACCTTTTTCCTGTATTATCTTCTAATGTCTTCGATGTGTGTGTTTCTATATCTGGATCTGTATCTATATGGATTATGTGTGTATATTATACAACTAGGATCATGCACTTGTATGACTTGCTTTTGGTATTTGACAACACATCAAGACCATTTTTAGTATGAACTACCAAACAGAACTGTCTTTGAGGTGGTGAGTTCCCTGTCATTGAAGGAATTCTCACCAAGGATAGACAACAGTTGGCTTGTTGTATAGAAAGAATTCAGATTTGAGCATTATTTCCAGCCCAGGTAATCTGAGACTGATGCTTTATGCTTTTGGAAGCTGGAGATGGGCAGGGTGCTGACTTCTCTGATTAGCACATATATCTAGGCTCTTCCTGCACTGGCCTCCCCCTTCCCTGGATTGTGCTAATAATAATAATAACACTCACAATAAAAATAGTAATAGTAATAATACTAACAACAGATAGTGCCTGTGCTTCGGGTAAGGAGTTGAGCTTGGTCAGGGGCAGAGTGGGACACCCTCTCTGTGTCTCCAGGAGGCCAGAGTTCAGGCCACTGCTGCTCCCCAGCCTTAAGCCTGGAAAAGTACTGTCTAAATTTCCCCACATATCACTGTACAAATGTGGTCACCCTCGGGGGAGTCCCACCCTCACCGTGGGCATGAGGAGAATGGCCAGGGTAAGGGATTAAGGGAGACCAGACTCTGGATTTAAAAATAGTCTTTGAAATGTTATGGACTGGAAACTCGTACCCTTCCCTGTTCTTCCTGCTCCCTCCTTCTCCTCCCCCATCCCCTGCTGATGAATATCTCACACTTGGCTCTGCTAGGGAGCATGAGACCCACTGGAATGTGTAAAGGAAGGTGTGGAAAGTTTCACATGCTCACCGACTCTCAGAGTCTCTAGGTGTGACTCATGCTGCCTGGGGAGGGGTGTCAGGAGGACCGCCGGAGACTCCCTGGCAGCTCCTGGCTGCTGTGTCCCCACCAGGAGTGACCTTGGCCGGCTTCCTCTCCAGGTTGTTTATTTCACAGCCACCTTTCCCTACCTGATGCTGATTATCCTACTGATCCGAGGCATCACCCTTCCTGGAGCCTATCAAGGCATCATTTATTATCTGAAGCCGGATTTGATTCGCCTCAAGGACCCCCAGGTTGGTACCATGCTGGGGACCGTTTCCCCACATGTCTCCCACCCCAAACCAGATCTGGACTTTTGAAAGTCTTTTATTGCTTTTCTCTTGGTTTAAAAGCAATAGATGCCCACTGTAGAAAAATTAGATAACATAGAAGAAAATTATGAAAAAGGAACTAAAAATCTCTTTTAATCTCACCACTCAGATATAATCTCTGTTAACATTTTAGTATCTTTCCTTCTGACTTTTTTACTAGGTGGTATGTGTGCATTTTAACATAGTTAAGATAATTACATATAGAGAGACATATAGAGTTTTATGCCCTTTTTTCACTTAAATATTATCCTGAGCATTTTGTATGTTATTAAATTCATTTGTAAATGTCAGGTTTAACACTTGAATAATATTTCCTCTATCCATCATTCATTCATTTGACAAAAATGGATTGAGGACCCATTAAGTGCCAGGTATTTTTCTAGTGGAAGTCCCTGTGTGGTGCAAACTGTTAACGTGCTTGGCTGTTAACCAAAAGGTTGGTGGTTCAAGTCCACCCAGAGGTGCCTCGGGTCCACCCAGAGGTGCCTCGGAAGAAAGTCTTGGTGATCTATTTCCAAAAAGTTAGCCATTGAAAAACCTATGGAGCACAGTTCTACTCTGACACACGTGGGGTCACCATGAGTTGGAATCAACTCAATGGCAACTAGTAAATTGGTACTGTTTTAATGCCAGAGATGGGGTAGTGAACAAACAGAAGAGACACTGAGTCCTGTCCTCTTGGAGCTTACACATAGTGGATGTGTCATCATTTAATTTCCCCCAGTTCTTGGACATTTAGGTGATGACTGTCTTCCCCCTATTGTAAATACAGCTGCAGTGAACACCTTGTACATGTCTTTGACCACATCTCTATTTCCTGGTGGTAGTTAGAATCGGAATTAGTAAATCAAAGAGCATGCACAGTTTCAGGTTCTTGATATGTACTGACTTTAGAGAAATGTAGACTTTCATCATCAGTGTTTGAGGGTACCTTTCTTTCTGCAGGAGCCCTGGTGGCACAGTGCTTAAGTGTTCAACTGTTAACCAAAACGTTGGCAATTCCAATCCACCAGCCACTCCTTGGAAACCCTATGGGGCAGTTCTACTCTGTCTATAGGGTCGCTATAAGTCAGAATCGACTCAGTGGCAATAGTTTTTTCTTTTTTTTTTCTGTAAGGCCCTTGCTAGATTTGATTATAATTTATTTTAATCTTTGATAATGGGATAGGCCGAAATAGTATCATTTTATTATTTTAATTTTGTTGTTTTGACTCCTGGTAAGGTTGGACGTTTTCCCATAGATTTATTGGCCAGTTGTATTTCCTTTTCTAGGACTTCTATGATCGCATTCTTTGTTCGTCTTCTTTTTTTCTTTTCCCCGTTTGGAGTTTTTGTGCTTTTTTCTCTATATTTTAACGAAGTCACCTCCTTGCCCCCAGGTCCTAGCTGCCTGAGGTATGCTGTGCTAGTTGAATGAGTGGTGGTGGCTGTCTTAGCTTGCCCTGCAGACAGGTCTTGGACATCTCTTGATGCCTGTACTTGGTGCTTACTAAATGCTTACAAGGAGCCCTGGTGGCGCAGTGGTTAAGCGCTCGGCTGTTAACCAAAAGGTTGGCAGTTTGAACCCACCAGCCACCCGATGGGAGAAAAGACCTGGAGATCTACTCCCGTAAATATTATAGCCTAGGAAACCCTATGGGGCAGTTCTATTCTATCATACAGTGTCGCTACGAGTTGGCATCGACTACATGGCACACAGCCAGTGCCGAATTAAGGCATGTGAGGGCCCTAAACACTGATAATCCATGGTGCCTCCTCCTCTGTTTTCTCACTCATTCGAACGGAATATGTGAGTTATATATACATACACATATATGTATATGTGTGTGTGTATATATATATATATATATATATATACACACACATACATATGTGCATGTGGGACCCCGGTGGCACAGTGGTTAAGCGTTTGGCTGCTAACCAAAAGATAGGCAGTTGGAATCCACCAGCCGCTCCTTGGAAACCCTATGGAGCAGGTCTACTCTGTCCTATAGTGTCGCTATGAGTTAGAATCAACTTGATGGCAATGGGTTTGGTTTTTGGTTTATATATGTGTGTGTGTGTCTTAGCTATGCATGATATAACGTCTTTTTAAATGCGACTATAATATTAGCGATTGAATACGAAAGTGGCGTATGACATTTTAGTGGAATGAGATGAACTGGATTATAAAATTTTTAGTGGGTGAATGTAGCAAGAGTTAGACTCGACAGTCCACCCCACTTCTAGTTTATTAGGAAGAAATAGTATACTCCCAAGAGACCCACTGAGATAGAGAGTTTCAATTACACGGGAGGGGACTATAGGAGACAGATGTCAATGAAGGTGCTGAAATAGTAGGGGCCTTATAGTTTAAACAACCTTTCGAGGGGGCACCCTCATGACTCTGCGTGAAATTTATTTCCAGCCAGCACATTCTCACATAGTGGAACTGGTATCAATTCCATTTACTGCCTTGATAGTTCCCTTCCACTGTGGCTCTTGCTTTTCCTTGTATCCTGTTTGCTTGGCGTCTGTAGGTCTTTGCTTTGGACAACCGGTGCCCATTTTGTTGATGCCCTAAGCACGTGCTTACCTTGCTTATTGGGTAATCTGTCCCTGCACACAGTAATAACAAAAACAAAGAGGCCATAGGAGTCCCTGGGTGGTGCAAATGGTTAATGTGCTTGGCTGCTAACTGAAAAGTTGGAGATTTGAGTCCACCCAGAGTGCCTGGGAAGAAAGCCCTGGTGATCTGCTTCCAAAACATCAGCCATTAGAAACCCTACAGAGCACAGTTCTCTGACACACATGGGTTCTCCATGAGTTGGAATCTACTCAACTCAACTTAATGGGCAACTGGTTAACTGCCTACAAAAACAGAATTAAAAATAGTCCCTCTTGTGAGGAGATCACTGTCTAGACAGGAGAAGGACAAGTTAACGGGGAGTTGGGGTATAGGTGTGAAGCTCTAAGGGAATCCCAAGGGGACTAGGCTGCTGCTGTGGCTGGTGCTGTAGGGCGGTCGGTTCGAGTCTCTGTCCCTAGTGCTCCAGGCCCCAGTGGGCTGTCTCTCACCTTCTCACTACCATTTCTTGGGGTCTCATGTAGGTGTGGATGGATGCTGGTACCCAGATCTTCTTCTCATTCGCCATCTGCCAGGGATGCCTGACAGCCCTGGGCAGCTACAACAAGTACCACAACGACTGCTACAGGTGCAAGTTGGGCCACTGGGGTGGGAGGAGTGACCTGGTCTCTCTACGGGAAGGAGTTCTAGGGGTGGGCATGCCTCCAGGGACCACCTCCCAGTCACTGGGCCCAGGCCTTGTTTGTTTATTATCAGGGAGTCACATGTTGTGTCAAACTAACATTCTGGGCTCGTTTCCCAGGCTGAGTTTCTTTCTCCCTCCCTTTTCTCTCCCACTTTACTCTCTTCACCTTCTGATACCTGACCTGTGTCTTTTTCTTTCATTGTCTCTTTCTTTCCATTCTCCCTTCCATTTCTCTTTTTTGTTCTTTTACCTTCCCCCTTCTCTCTCCTCTTTACCCTCTTACTGTCTTTTGGCATCTCCTCCCGCGATTGGTTTCTTTCTCTCTTCCCCCTCTTTCTGTTTTCTCTGCTTGCACCCCCCACCCCCGCCCCCACAGGGACTGCATCGCCCTCTGCTTCCTCAACAGCGGCACCAGCTTTGTGGCCGGGTTTGTTGTCTTCTCCATCCTGGGCTTCATGTCTCAGGAGCAGGGGGTGCCCATTTCCGAGGTGGCTGAGTCAGGTAGGAGCCACCTAGCTGTCTGGGACCTCAGGGGAAGGGCGGGGAGGAGGTCAGAGAACTCAGGCCCTTCCTACAGAAAGGCAGGAGTCCCAAAAGCTGGGTAATTGAGACTTCTAGCATGAGGGCACTGTTTGGCACCAAGCAGGGGCTCCATGAATGTGAGTGGGAGTGAGGAGAGGAGGGAGATCAGAATGGATGACTGATAGCTACGTGCATGGATGCATGGATGGGTGGAAGAAGAGATGAACCAATAGTATGTTCCCCAGAACCTGGGAAGAGCAGAATAATGGATGGAATCACTGTGACCTCTTGAATCCTACACACACACACAGAGACACACACACAGTACTTGTGGGGAGAGCTCTTACCTTGGAGCTCACCTGATTGTGCTGTGTGCCTGGCAGGTCCTGGTCTGGCCTTCATCGCATTCCCCAAGGCTGTGACTATGATGCCCTTATCCCAGCTCTGGTCCTGCCTTTTCTTCATCATGCTCATATTCCTAGGGCTGGACAGCCAGGTACGTCACCACCACCCCCTGTCCTACCCAGCCCTGCCCTGGTGACCCTCTTGCCAGCGTCTGCATTTCCTGGCATTACTTCCTTTTCCATTCCATTTCCCGGTTTGTAAATTCCAAGGCTCCCTCCGCTCTCCAGGCTGTTCCTTGGGGTTGGTTGGGTGACCCCAGGCCCTGAGACCCTCTTCTGTGAGGGAGCTACCTGCTTTGTTCCTACAACCTTGACCCTTCCCCACACAACGATGCCCCGCCCAAAGGCTCCACCAGCCCCTTTCCACACCTCCAGCTACTCGGCTCAAGCCATCCTGGCCCCAGGCCCTCTCTGTCACCCCTTGGTGACAGAACATCACCTCCTCTGCAGTCACCGTGTAGATGTGGCTAAGGGCAGGCTGGCCTCACCCCGGACCCTCTCTCCCTCCTAGTTTTGGCCCTCTGCGCCCCTCCCTGCACTCCTGTGCATCAGTACGTGACTCTGAGAAAGAAGGGTCGAGCGCCTGTCCTCACATCCCTCTTACTCCCTATTCCCCTCCTGCCCACAGTTTGTCTGTATGGAGTCCCTGGTGACGGCCTCCATGGACATGTTCCCCAGGCAGCTCCGGAAGAGCGGGCGGCGCAAGCTCCTCATCCTTGGCATCGTGGTGGTATGCTACCTGATCGGGCTCTTCCTGGTCACTGAGGTGAGCTTTTGGGCAGCCTGCAGGCTGGGCTCCAGGGCCAGGGAGCCATGGGGACAGGGTCACGTGTCACTGTGGCCCTGACCTGAGCCCCCACACTGAGCCCCTCAGAGCCACAGTTTCCTCATCTGCTAAATGGGCGTGTTGACACCTGCCTGTCTCCCTCACAGTAGGGTTGTAGGGACCATCCAATGAAATACACCTACATTAATTAAGTCCCTTTTGATTGTAAGTGACAGAAACCAAATGCAAGCTGGCTTAAGCAGAAAGGGGAATTTACTGGGCCAGGTAACTGAAAAGCCTAAAGACATTTTGGTTTCAGGCACGATTGGATCCAGTTATGCTAATGACATTGTCAGGAATGCTGCTCTCTGTCTTCTGCCTCTTTCCTCTGGGAACTTCGTTCTTGGGCAAATTTTCTTCCTGCAGGAGAGAAGGCTGATGCAGCGCCAACCTACTTCTACCCTCTAACTAACCCCACAGGAAAGAGAGGGCCTTTTCCTGAAAGTGCCGGCAAGTGTCAGGCCTGGAGCAGGGTACCCCAACATAAAAAGAACACGCTTAGGGTGAGGTGGTGCCAATTTGCAGGAGATGGGATACTGGGCAGACAAAACAATCCATGCCCACTACAGCCCCCAATGTCCACGCAGGTGTCAGAGACTGTTGACATGATGTTGAATGAGGGGCTTGGGGGCAGGGACAGGCAGGGCAAACTCCTTTTAGATGCAAGGAATAGGTTGCCTCATATATATCCGTATTACAGTAAAACCTGCGAAAGCCGGAAACTGTGTAAGGTGGGAACCTGTCAGAGAAGAAAAATTCAAATATTTTCCACTAAAATGAGCAATAGAAAAGTGGTAAGACTGCCCCCTGTGAAAGGTGAAAAACTTTTGAGACCGGGAAAGACAAAGCCTTTACGTCGAGTTCCGGCTCTCACAGGTTTCACTGTATATTCACAACTGTAGAAGTTGCCATTCATTCATGGGCTGGGCAGGACAGCACCCCAATGAGTGTTTTGCCATCTCTTGAGGGTGGGAGTTGTCCTCTGCCCCCCACTGGCTAAGGCCTCAGCTCCACTCCCTTCTCCATAGGGCGGGATGTACATCTTCCAGCTGTTTGATTATTATGCTACCAGTGGCCTATGCCTGCTCTTCCTGGCGGTGTTTGAAGTTATCTGCATCAGCTGGGTGTATGGTAAGTGGGGTGGGAGAGTAGGGTAAGGATGTGGAGGAGGTAGGAGAAGAACCTCTGAGGCCCAGCAAAGGGCAGGATTTTCCAGGATGAGAGGCGGGTGCTCTGTCCTCTGGTTTCTTTGTGTCTTTGTATTGCTGTGTTGGGTCTTGTTACAGGGAATTTTTTGTACCCCTGGGAACCCTGGCACTCCTCATTATGGCAGGTAGAGTGCCTTAATGATCAAATGATCAAAGTCAGGATAATGAAAAAACTGATTTCCTTGAGTAATAATGATAATAAGAAGATGCTAGAGGCCCTTCATCAGTAGAAAGCTTAGTCAGAAGGGACCCTCAGGGCCCCTTAGTCTGGTCCTCTGCAAGCTCCCACATCCCCTTTTCCAACAAATAGGTTATCACTCACACTTTGCTTGAACACCTCCACTGACAGGAAGTTCATTCCTGCGGTTTTGAGGTAGCCTTTTCCATTGTGATTGTCATGCATTTCTTTCTTATACTGAGCTGAACCAACACTTCCACCAACATCAGATCAACAGCTTTGTCACCTTCAGTGCTGAATAACCAATTGCTGGTGCTTGAGAGCTCTGGTGGCACAGTGGTTAAGAGCTCGGCTGCTAACCAAAAGGTCAGCAGTTCAAATCCATCAGCCATTCCTTGGAGACCCAATGGGGCAGTTCTACTCTGTCCTGTAGGGTCACTATGAGTTGGAATCAACTTCACTGTATCAGGTTTTTGGTTTGGTACTGAATGCTGTAATATCTGTGATACTATTTTGCCCGATAACAATAAAACCAGTTACCATTGAGTTGACTCCAACTCATGGCAACCCCATATGTATCAGAGTAGAACTGTACTCCATAGGGTTTTCAGTGGCTGATTTTTCAGAAGTACATCGCCAGACCTTTATTCCAAGACACCTCTGGGTGGACTGGAACCTCCAACTTTTGGTTTGCAACCGAGTGCGTTAACCATTTGCACCACCCAGGGACTCCCCTGATAACAATAGAGGGGAAGAAACCTTTATTTATTGAGCATCTACTACGTGTCAAGCACTGTGCTGGTGGCGTCACAAGCCGGCTCACAATCCACAGGGCAGGCCTTTACAGGGAGGAGAATGAGGCTTAGAGAGGTTAGGTCTCTTTCCTAAGCTCACATAGCCAGTAAGTGGAGGAGCTGTCATCGTCCCCCAGGCCTGTCTGGCTCTACTACATCAAGTTAGGGGAAGACAATGCCAATGTTACAAGGAACAGGGCAAAGAGGATAAGTGGGTACCACACCATAGGGCTCAGGAGAAGCCATGAGCAGGAAGGTTTTTATTTTGCTACCTTGAGCCTTCCTACTTGGTGTCCTTTCCCTTCCTTGAAGATGTCGCCTACCCTTTCACCTCAAGCATCTGATGTCTTTCTGATTTCCCAATACTCCTTGTTCTTAGAGAGGATCTGGTACTCAATCACAGTGCGGTATATGTGTCTGATACACCTTAAGATGTTATATAGGTACTAACCCAGCAGTATCTGGGTTTTAACTGAGGTTGAATTTAGAAGAAAGGAATGGCTCTCCAATGGTGGGATTTCATGTACCAGTGACCAGTGGGAAGGTATTTGGTGGGGGCGAGAGGGGCCTTCCAAGTGTCTTTACCAATTGGTGGCTCTTTGCTTCTTAGAAGGCTGGCTCTGCTGGAATTAGAGCAATATGGAAACCTGAGGACATTAAACAAAATAAAACCTGCCAATGTTTTCATGAACACAAATCAGTCCTCTTACCACACTTCATTGGAAACTCAGAGGTGGTTCTTCGACAGCCTTGAATCTAGACCTTTTTCTATTCCCAGTAGATTTCTGGCCCTGTATACGCTGAGCGTGATATGCTTGAGCAGTGAGACCTTGCTGTTTTGCTGTCTTGACTTGAAACTGAATCTCTGCTACACAGATAAACAATAAGCATTTGTGTAGTTCTGGAAACTCGTTTTTTCTCACACCACTTCTCTGTGGATGGGACCATTGTTGTCTTATCCTTAGACAGGGAGAAAGGAGGTCTCACTAGGAGGGACATGGTGCTCGTTGGTGGCCCTGCTCCCTCCCACTTTCCCTGTGGCTGGGGTGCCAGGGACCCATTTCAGTCATTGTGCCCTGTTCTAGTTTCCCATTGCAGAATTAGGGATGTGGGGAAGAATCCAAAGCCGTGTGAGTCCTTCCCAAATACCCATGAAGCTGTTTTTACCCCCCTCCCCACTTGCCTCGTCAGGAGCAGACCGTTTCTATGACAACATTGAGGACATGATTGGCTACCGGCCATGGCCCCTGGTGAAGATCTCCTGGCTCTTCCTGACCCCTGGACTTTGCCTGGTATGTGCCCATCCAGCTATGCCTTAACTCCCTCCTGCCTCCAGAAGATTCAGGGAAGTGGGGAAAAGGATGCCTCCATTATGGGGCTCTAATCTCTGGAGGCTGGTCTATTCCCTCTTCTGGGGTTGCCCTCCTGCTCTTCTCTTCTGGGGCTGTCTCATTCATCTGTTTGCTTTACTGTCATTATCATCTATTCTAGTTTCTGCTCCATCCCCTTCTCACAGTACCTCATCCCATCTGCCTGATTTCCCAATTATTGGTCTCTTCCTGTCTGTCTTCTTTAAGCTCCTCCATTCCCCCTCCCTTCCTTTACATCTCCTCCTGTCTTAGTCCTTGATGTGAGTGATGCCTTGGCCTATGATTTGCAATGGCTTTTGTCAATCCATCTTATAGATGTACCACAGTGTATTTAACTTGTCTTCTGCCATTGGATATTTAAGTAGCTGAGGAGAGGGTGTTATGGATCTTTATCTCATCCATGTCTGCTCCTTCCTCATTCCAGGCTACATTCCTCTTCTCCTTGAGCAAATACACGCCTCTCAAATACAACAACATCTACGTGTACCCTTCTTGGGGATACTCCATTGGTTGGTTTTTGGCTTTCTCCTCCATGATCTGTGTCCCACTCTTCATTGTTGTCACCCTCCTGAAGACCCGGGGCTCCTTCAAGAAGGTAGGTGGCTAGAAGAGGTGACTACGGAGAGAGGTTGGACTTAGGGCAGTACCCACAGCTGGGGCCCAGGGTGCAAACACATACTCTGAGTGTACGGCAGCCCTTTGGTCTCATGGAAACTTAAAGGAGAAAGGTCTTGAAGACCAGTCTAATAGCTTTGTTTTTATAAACGTTCAAAGTCCTAGAGTCTCACAGACTTTCAGAACTAGAAGGGACCCACCAGATCATCGGGGCAGGCTAAACAGAGTAAACTGTCAAAGGGTTAAGGGGAAAAACTAAATTACAAACAAGGGAACATCAAGTACCCAGACACATATTACTTGCTCTTGGGAAACTGATAACCAACCATTATAGTTTATTGCATATACAGGCTCCTGGCTTCTTTTGTTATCTAAACCCTGGCTGGTGAACCACATGCAAAAGTTTCCCTGTTTAAAGTTTGGGACATTCTTTCCTGCAAGAAGCTATAGCCAGTGCCATAAAGACATTATATCTCTAGAAATATATTTGGCTAAAAGTAACAGACAATCTAATCTGTAATGGTTTAAGCAAATAGGCTTATTTTTTCTTTTCTCTCACATATTAAGAAGGCCAGAGATGGGGACTACTGCCATTTAGTTCAGGTGCTCATAGAGGTCATCAAGGATCAGACTCTTCCTATATTTCTACACTTCCACCCTGAGTATGTTGGCTTTTCACCGTCATGCTTATCACCTCATGGTTACAAGATGGCTGTCACAGTTCCAGTCATCATATCCGCATTCAAAGCAGGAAAAGGGGCGGGGCGGGGAGGAAATGGTACAAGACATATCTGTCCTTTTGTCATAAAAGCTTTCCCAAGAGTCTCTAGCAGAATTCTGCTTATGTCTCACTGCCCAGGGGAAGCTGGGAAAAGTGCAGGCTTAGCCTTTCCAGCCTCTATTGTGGAAGGTAGCAAGGGAGGAGGGAGTTGAAAATGGATGTTACATTGACTAATTGGCAATGTCTGCTACATACCCATTTGAATAATAACAATAACAACAGTAATAGTATTACTACTAATAAAAAGAAAAATAATAGACAATTATTGAACACAAAATAATGGTAATAGTAATAATAATAACAAAAATAGACACTGATTGAGCACTTACCCCATGCTAGGTACTGTTCTAAGTGTTTGACATAACTAATTTAATATTCACAACAATCCTATGAGGTAGGTACTATTATTATCCTCATTTTGCAGATGAGGAAATTGAGGCACAGAGGGGTTAAATGAATGAGTTGCCTAAGATCACACAGTAGTCAGTCGCAGAGCCAGGATTGGAACCTAGGCAGTTCACACTGTTAACCATGTTATTGCCTCTTCTCTCTTAAAATATTTGTTCATTTATTCATTCACACTGTATCGAGCTGCCCCGTGCTGGGCCCTGGGGATACAGATATGAGGAGACATCTTTGCCTCTCTTGCCCACAGTACCCACTCACTGCCTCTTCTCCCCACAGCGCCTGCGACAGCTCATCGCCCCTGACCCTAGCCTGCTGCAGCCCAAGCAACATCTATATCTGGACGGTGTCGTCAGCCAGGACTGCAGGCCCTCCTCAACCAAGGACGGACTAATAGCTGGGGAGAGGGAGACCTACTTGTAGGATGTGGCCAGAGGTTGGATGGCTGCTGAGCCAGGAATCTGGGTCAGGACTACCATCCCCCCTCCAGTGGACAGCCCCCCTCCAGTGGACAGTCCTGCTGAGAACCTTTGGGATGCCCATGAGCACCCCTCAGCCAGAGGCCAGACTCCTCTCCTCAGCTGGAGCAGCTTCTTCTGGTGGGCCAAAGACGCCACCACTGGAATATGCCATGCTGTGATGCAATTCCCTGTTGGAACACACCATCTTATTTATAAAGGAAGGTGGTCTTTTTGAAGTCCACCATTTGATTATAGCACATTACACTGTAAGAGAACTCTCATTGTGGGGATGTTTCCTATTAGAGCTTACAATATTTGTGCATTGGGAGGGTACTCCAATATACATAGTGATTAACTCAGAGACCCCCATGGAACACACCATATTGGAAGTGACAGCTGAATACATCACATTGGATTCTGAAGTTCCTTTACAGTACGCCAGCTCTGGTGATGGAAGCCCTTCACTAGGCCTAATATTCTGAAGATTCCCTGGGTAAGGAGGTAGAGAAACAGAAAGCAAACCTTCACTTGCCATGATCAGCTTGAATTATTTGGAGGCAGTCGCTCAAGCCATCCCTAACTCCAGCCCTAAGCTCCACACTTCGCTTCTTGCAGTGTTGTCATCAACTCAAGGCGCACCGGGATAGAGGAGACTTAGAGATGATTCCTAGATTTTAAAAATACATGGCATGCATACCTCTACTTTCCATTCCTATGCCTGAGGCAGACATTGCTAATTGATCACAGATCCTTCCCCACTTCATCCTTCCAAACACAGTGCTCCAGGCATCTCCACTTGCTATCCCTGCTTCTAGTCCAAACTCCTCATTTTCATGGATGAGGAAACTGAGGACCAAAGAGACCAAATGACTTTTTTAAGTTCACACAATTTCATAGGGCCAGAGATGAGACTAAAACCTAGTCTCTTTCCTCTCCAGCCAGAATTCTTCCCATTACACCCTCCTGCTCAGTTAACAAGCATGTATGGATCTCCGCCACTGTGTGCGTCTTTAATTTGCCTCATTTCTGTTCAGTTACTCTGACTTGGGATGGGAGAGAAAGAGGTCCCCTTAGTGGAGAGATGAGTAGCTCTCCACAGATTGGTGCCCCCACCTTGGTATTTTCTCCTGATGAGCTCATACTCCTCTGACCAGATTTCTGCTCTGAACCCTTTTGTTCTTTCCACTTTCCATCTCTCCACCCACAGTGGGTTCCTTGGAGTCTGTGAAAGCCTGGTCTCCCACAGAGAGAGGAGTATGGGTGTGGGGTCCTCGTCTTTGCTGCCACAATGCCTCCCTCCCTTTCTCAGCCACTCCTATTCCCCTTCCCCACATACTGCCTCCTCTCCCCACACCCCTCCTGAATATACCAGATCCTTCCCTGGCTGGGGACGGCTTCTTGGAGGAGAAAGGCAGGGCTTGGATATATTCAAGGTTCCTGTGTTCAGAAGGGAAGGGAGGAGAAGAGTGTGAGTGGGGTGGGAACTCCCTTTACCAGGGTTCTTAACTTCAGGACAGCTTCCTGGGACAGAACCTGGGCACTGGAAGAAGGCAAATAAGGGGGAAATAGGACCTAGACGTCATCCTGAGCCATTACCCAGCAGCCAAAGTAAAAATCTGTGGTCTGGCCACGGTAAGTCCCATTGCTGATAGCCCCCAGGCCATCCTCAGCGCATTCACCATCCTGCTCCCAGATCTGTAGGGGCTTTGCTGCCTGTGAGAACAAGGATCTTGGCACACTGAGCACCAGCAGAAGTCCAGACTCGAGTTATTGCAGTCCCCTTCTCCCTCCCCCTGGACTGCTCTGTGGACCTATGCCCGCCCTTCTTGGGTGAGTTAGTGGGTAAAGAAGGAGGCCCAGGAAGAAGGGATGTTGAGAAACTGCTTCAGCCAGGCTGCTCTCACTTATGAGACTGAGGACATCAGAAAGCAGAAGGGGAGGCGGGCATAGTGCTCTCTGCTGCTGCCTGGTGGCAGGTGGGAGCAGTGCCTCATCCCCTGGCCCCATACCCTCAGATCTCCAGGGCACCCTTTACCAGCAGGAGGAAAGAGCCCTGAACCCTCTGCACTCGCCAGATGGATGGACAGGCTGAGGGAGGAAGGTATGAGCTCTCTCCTTCCTTGTGTAAGCTCTCGCCCTCTGGAAGTCTAATACTCCCCACATCCTTCTCCCCATGCCCTGGTGGGGATGGGTGGTGGTAGAGGGCTCCCGGAGAGAGTCTGCACGTGCTCTGGGGCAGCCTCAGCTGCAGAGGACACAAGGGCTGAGGCCACTCTGTCTCCCCAGCCCCCTGCCTCTTGCCCAGAGGGTGCCATGCTTTCTAAGCCTTGGTACTTCCCAGCCTGGAAGACAACATTTTCTATTGCAGGCCAGGTGGGCAGTTCTGCACAAAGGTGAGCACAAGCTCTCTCCAGTTCACAGCCCCGAGTCTCACAGTCTGTCTCAGCTGTCTGTCCTCAGTCACCCATGGCCTCTCTCCTCTACCTGCACAAATCCACCTAGTACCCTCTGCTGCCCCAGATGCCCCTGGCTTTAAATTCACAGCCTGACTAAGAAGGTCTCTGCTCTGTGTGGGGGACAGTTAGAGGCAGTACCTTCCTCTAACCATGTCTTCATTCACTGGGACTCAGTATGGAGCCTCTAGGGCCCATGAGTCCAAAGGGATCTGGATGCGGGATATTCGGGCCTGGAGGGAACAGGGAGTAGGGAAATGTACTTGAGGCCAACTACATAGCTCATGGGAATCCATTCATATTGGGTCCACTACATGTGCAAGGAGCAACACTTTTACTTTAATGTGCCCAGAGTGCTAATACAGGTATATGTGTGGGTGCGTGTGTATGCATGGAGAGCAGGTGGGTGGTTTTGATTTGGTGTCTGTTTTCATCTCATCTCTTAGGCTGTTTGAGTTTCAAACTGGTAGCAGAGGCCTTAACTGGCAGATTTGATTTGTTTGGCCAGTAAGATATTTAAAAAAATTTTTTTTTTCTCAGTGAATAACTTTTAGGCACTTTCTAGTTTGCCACAGGCTCCACCACGCCCTTACTCACACAGGCTCTTTTCACACATTCATGTTTGAAGGCATTTGGCTTCAAAACCTGTGCCCTGGGGGAAGAAGTGAGAACTTTTGGGCAGAGGAGAGGACTCCAAACCAGAATCCTTGCTTGAGCAGGAGGAGAAAACCAGACGGCTGTGGTCTAGGAGTTCCGGTGCCTCAGAAGGGAGTAGCCATAGGACAGCTACCAACTCTGGCTTGTCATGTGTGGACTTCCCACTTTGTAGACCCTCTGATGCTATTTATGAATCCTGGATCAATTCCCCCTTCCACACAGACGCTTCTCTTTCCCAAAGAAGGATGGTGGCTAAGTTCAATGTCAAAGTTAGATCTAACAGTTTCAGGCCACAGCAGCCCCTGAATGACAGAGTAGACTCCAAACCCAAACAGATTGCAGTTAGGATTTTCTTGATGTTTGGGATCATTCCTGACTCCCAGGATTCCTTAGCAGTCATTCTCCCTCTCCCCTTATTTTAGGCAGAGGCATTTTTATCTGGCAGTGGCACCCCTACTCTGTGAGGCTAAGTCTGTCCCCTCCTTCCTGGCACCTTGAGCTACTCCTTGGGATGCCCCTCACACTCCCAGGCTGGGCTCCTTGCAGAGCTGGCTCTTTGAGGCTGCTGGTGTTTTGGGGTTTGCTATTCCCTAACTGCTCACCTTGTTCTCCCATAAGTCCCTCTTGCTGAGGCTGGGCCTGGTGTGCTAGCCTGGCCTTGGACTCTCTCTCCCTCCCTAGCTCACCCCAGAGGCACCTCCCACTGCCCAGCCCTGGAGGAAGGCCAGCACGCCAGTGCAGGTTGCCCTGCGCACAAGCTAAGGTGTGCTCTAAGGTGTGTGTGGTCACCCCACTCCCGTCCGCCAGGGCTCTGGGAGCTGAGGAGCACCCTGAGGTCCTGCTGAGATTAGAGCCAACAACCGCCTATGAGCGGACACCCCGTGTGTGGCGACGGCTGTGTGTGTTAGGTTGGAAAGGCACTGACCAGGGGAAATTATCCCCCATCTGGCCCTGCATCCCACTTTTAACAGCTTCCGCCACTCCACTCCATGAGATCCCAATAAGAGAAGGCTGCACTCCGGTTTGGGGCTTCCAGGAATTGCCCAAGCTCCACCTTCAGCTCTCCTCCCAAACTCACCTGTCAGGTCCAGGGCACCCTCTCCGCTGCCCCTGCTGACAGGAGGCATCTCCTGTGCCCACTCAGTTCCTTCGCAGTAACGCCCAGGGATGCTGCTTCTTGGTCCTGGGTCAGAACTCCTCCACCCCAGGCCCAACTACCAGAACCCTGGCTGAGGCCGGCAGACCTGCCCCTTGAGCCCAGCCTCACCTGGGTCCCTGATGAGCTCCAATCTCATCTGGGTCCCTGATGAGCCCCATCTGGAAGCCTAATTTATCCCCCTCATCCAGGACCCTTCCTGCAGTACCCAGCACCTCTGGATATATTAAAAGAACATTTGAGTAAGTGCTGAGAACCTGACCCTCCTCAGAGGGGAGGAGGAGATAGGTAGACTTCCTGCCATGCTGGGCTGGCTCTCCCAGGGAGGTGGGGGTGGGGGAGTGTGTGTGTGTGTGTGTGTGTGTGTGTGTGAGTGAATCACCCAGCTACCTGTCAGATAAGCCTTTAGTTGCCAAGGTGAGGCAACAGGACTATGGGAATGGGCTTTGGGGAAAGGAGAAAGGAACAGAATTGGGTACCAGATGGGGGGCAAGAGGGACATAGATTAGGAGTTCTGGAGGAGAGGGCTATGGCATTTAGGAGGAAACATCCAGGTCTGGGGCTTGTGGGGGAGTATCATAACCACAGAGCCCAGGTGGCAAAGTGGCTAAGAACTCAGCTGCTAACCAAAAGGTCAGCAGTTCAAATCCACCAGCTGCTCCTTGGAAACCCTATAGGGCAGTTCTACTCTGTCCT